TTCAGCATTCTATCCCACCAATCAGCCTCCCTGGCTGCTCAGAGGAGCTCTGACATCCTGGGCTGCCTCCCTGCTGGGGCAGGGCCTGCACTGGTTCTCAGGGGAACCATCACTGCCCATGGAAGGGCCACTCATTCACTCACCCAGAGCGCATGTTCCGAGCTCACGGGAGCCAGGCACTGTGGTAAAACTGCCAGAGCTCCCACCCTCCCACCCTCAGGAGCTCTCGGCGCAACAGAAAAGAGACGCAGAAAGAACGTGAGCAGCTCCAGGAACAGTAGCACACAGTGGTGTGAGGCTGCACAGGGATGCACTGGGAGCAGGGCAGAGGGTTGGGTCTCCAGGAGGGGGAGTCTGACCTGCTTAATGATGGGGAAGGCTTCTCTGGAAAGCGATGATTGAACTCAAACTCAGGGCTGAAGGATGAGTATGTACCAAGAGATGAAAAGTGGAGGAAAGAAAATTCCAGAAACAGAGACCAGCATTGGCAAGGCTGTGTATTGCACTGGGTTACCAATGCCTTTGAAGCCCTGTGGCTAGAATGTAGTGGGGCGGGGGCAGGTGAGACTGGGCAGGGGGACGGGGTGGAGCTGGGGGTACACCATCAGCATCAGACCCGCATGAGCATCCTGTGGGCCAGGTTAGGAAGGGCACTGAGAGCCATGGTGGAGCATTAAGTGCTTCATGTAAGGGGAGGCTATGATCAGATTGTAGTTCTATTAGAATCTTATAATGAGACCATCAGGGAAAGGGGACTAGAGGGGGAACAGTAGCCTTGTTCCCCTCAGAGGGCTCTCGGCACCTGGGACACATTCTCAGACATAGAAGCTATGAAGACAGAGATGGCCAAGAGTTGTAATGACACACACATTTTTGAGGCACTAATAGTTTAAAACAGGCAGCCATCAGCTGCAGAGGGAGAGGGCTGTGGATGCTTGGTTGATACACAGGGGAGGTGCTCAAAAGAGAAAAGGAGGGAGGAGGTGAGAAGATGGATAACTGGTTGGTGATTCTCTGAAACCCCACACGCCTCAGAGCCCTTGGTCCCCTGAACCTGAAGATGCTAGGTCCAAATCCAGCCACCCAGCACCTGGCTCCCATCCAGAGATTCTGAGACCAGGAGGCCTGAGGTGGGACTTGAGGCCTGCTGGTGTGCCCCCCATCTTACCTTGTTATAAAAGCAAAAAAGAAAATACCCCCCCACACACCCACAAGCAACAAAGAGCTTTCTTTGTCTCACCCACTGATGCATGCCCCTAAAGGGAGAAGTTATTATTTCCTGTGTCCTTTCAGAAATATCTTCATGCACATAGCAGCATCACTGTATATGATCTTAGCACACTCAGATGCATAGGTTCTATTTTATCACTAAAAGAGCACCGATTATCAACAGCATGGTTTATACGCAACTAAGGGGGAAAAAAAAAGCCTTGCCAATAAGCTATGACCTAATAATGCCTGCTTTACCTTAGAATGCTGTATTTATATGTATTAGAAAAGCTTATTTAGGGGCTGAGGCTGTGGCTCACTTGCCTGGCACGTGCGAGCCCTGGGTTCAATCCTCAGCACCACATAAAAATAAATAAAAGTATTGTGTCCAACTACAACTAAAAATTAAATATTAAAAAAAAGCTTATTTAGATTTGACATGGATTTTCTTCTATGCTCTTTTCCAAATGTGAAAAGAAATACATAAGCAAAATAAATTAGCCAAGGACTGAGCCCTTCCTCAGCTGAGCCACGGTGGCACAGCTCTTGTGGAGCACACACAAGGCCTCGGGTTCCATCCCCAGCACCACAGACACCTGGGTCGTTCTTGCGGTACTTTTTTTTTTTTTTTAGTGCCACCAAAGATTGTCTCTCTTTTTCTTTTTTTATTATTGGTTGTTCAAAACATTACAAAGCTCTTGACATATCATATTTCATACATTAGATTCAAGTGGGTTATGAACTCCCATTTTTACCCCAAATACAGATTGCAGAATCACATCAGTTACACATCCACATTTTTACATAATGCCATATTAGTAACTGTTGTTTCTGTTTTTTTTTTTTTTTTGAGAGAGGGTATCTTAAATTGCTGAGGCTGTCCTGGAACCGGCAAAGCTCTGCCTCAGCCTCCTGAGTAGCCGGGATTATAGACACGAGAACTCTGACAATGCCTCAAGGATATTCTTCTACGTCTGACAATTACTTTTGCACCTTCTTGATTTCACCAGATGTTGAAGAAAGGTCTTTCAATAAAAACAAAGATGGGCTGGGGCTCTCCGGTGTCACCAGCAAGCCCAATACCATTCATGCCCATGCAAAGTAATGATGGCCAACAGCATCTCTAAAATTCTTCCACAAAGAGAAGATGTTAACATATAAAACAAACACAAAAAGTCAACCTTGAAATCTGTGCACCACATTACAGTGCACATATGGTCTCCCCCGCTCACTCTTAGTCAACTGGGGTTGCAAGCTCAGCTCACAGCCTGACCCAAGGAAGTAGTAAGTGAACCAGGAAAGGCAGGCTGTGGTGCACACATGGTTTTGGGTGGTGCTGGATCAGCAGATAGTTTAATACTCACAGACCAAACATTCCTTTGGAACGGATAACTTCTTGGTGTCCCTCTGTAAACTCTAGTAGATGTGGATATGTGAGCATTTTTAATGCCATTTTTAAACACAAAATATACTATTCTGAATCTTGCTGTCTTCTTAATCATATATCTTGGAATTCCATCCATTTCAGCACCTGTAGCTCTCCCTCCCTCTTTCAAGGTCTTCGTGCCCTCCAGGGCCCTCCAGTGCACCTGCGCAGCCCGGGGAGTGAGCTCAGCTGGCTGCTGGTTCCCTTGCCCTCTCAAGCAGGACTGGAGGACTTGGAAGGCAGCAGAGCTGAGGTTCTTCTGAAGCTTGACATCCTGGATGGGTGGGAAGGGCACTCTGATGGCCCAGCCTGGAGAATGGAGGTGAGTCACCCATCTACTCCCAGCAGCTCTGCCTCGAGGGTTTGAGACTCCTGGAGAAGTGGCAGGAGAGAGCAGCTGCAGAAGACTCTAGACACACCAGCCACTTCTTATGGTCAGAAATGCTCACAGTAGCATTAGAAACCCTGTTTCCAAAACTGCACAGTCCTCTAGCCCCCAAATCCAACTGGTCCCTCCAACAGTCCAATAAATCTCACTTTGCCCTGTGACCCGCATCCTTCCTGACATCCCCAATGTCTTCTAGATGAACAGGAGAGAGACAGGCCAAAGGGCCTCTATGAATGAGTCTGTGTGGGGGCAGAGGACCGCCTCCCACTATCCCGTCCCCTCTACCATATTCCATACACTCATGCCAGGTGCCATGGGGTGAGGGTAACAGAGTCATCACCAAGTACATGGAGTGATTCTGAAGGTGCCTATTGTTGGCTCAATTTTACTGATGAGAGACCCGAGTCTCAGAGAAGGTTACTGACAATCGTCCCTCCACCCAAAGCCCCACTTTCTCAAGGATTTCCTGCAGGTGGGGTGTGTGTGTGTGTGTGTGTGTGTGTGTGTGTGTCTGTCTGTCTCAGGCCCTCCTGAAAGTCAGAATTCTCTTTCCTAGAGAGCAGGGGCCCCACTCCAATCCCAAAGACCCCCTAGTTCAGTGTGGTAAGGGAGGTGGAAATTTTTCTCAAAGTCATCTTTTTTTTAGAATTTACATTTTAAAGTCACAGTTTTTAAACAATTCCACACGGCATCATTTCACCTTCCCCTTTGATCACTGTTCGCAACTTCTAATAGAGTGTTTTGCTCTGTTCCTCAGATTTTCAGGCACCGACTTCCCCACCAAGGGAGGAAGCAAAGCAGGTTCCCAAAACCTCCTTTCCAGGAGGCCCAGGAATTTGCAGAAAAGGTTCTAATTCCAAGTTCATTACTGTGGCTCATTAATTATAAGTGCTCCCCTCCTCCCAACCCTCTTCCCCAAACACCCAAAACAGCAGATTAAGTTTTAACTTTTCCTGGCAGGACACCTGCTCTGGCAATTCCCTCTCCCTGCCCCCACCTCCTAGGATTTACAACAGGCAGGTAAATATTGACGCTGGTTAAGATTTACCAAAAGCAAGCGTGGCCTGGAATGTTACCTGAAGTCCTGCCTCAAAAGAAGAGGGAGCCTTTTAGAAATATGTAAAATAAGGAAATAAGCTCACATGGGAGTGAAAATTCAAAGCGGTCTAGGTAACGTCCAACCTGGGCTCAGGGGAACCAAGGCTGTGAGGACAGCGTACCTGAAATCCCAAATCTCAACTCCAGGTAAACAGGGTTATCAGTCACAATGCAATCAAGTGAACTTGGAGAAACTCTTGGATAGAACTTTCTTCCTCATGGAGATTACTAAGAGGGAAGGAAAGAGTCCCCTACAAAGGGGGAGTCCAAGCCCTATGTTCACCTGCTTTCACCAGGCCAGGCCGATGAGGCATGAGTGTTTTGTTAGAGGTTGGGGAGGGGAGGGGCACAGTCAGCCCTCAGCAGAAGCTTAATAAGGTCACCAGGCACTGAAGTCATGGGAGTCCTCTGGAGGGAAGGAAGATTAATATATTCCCTACACCCACCCAAGATTTCTGGTGCAGACCAGTGGAAATGCTGTATTAAAAGAAGGAGGATGAATGTGGTTGTTTGGCATTGGCATCTACTTTACCTCTTAGTGACAACACTTCTATCAGCAAATACTTCATTGCAATATTAACCACATCTTGACCACGTGGGGCAAGCGAAGAAAGAGTTGGTGAAGCAAGAACTCATTCATAACCAACTTGTTCCCAGTAGCCCGCTGGCTGCTTTGCTTGGTTGGTTCACCACTTTGTGCCACCCAGAGAGGCAGGAGCTAGTATCTACACCTGGAGGATGAGGTCACTGGGGTTAGCCAACCTGGCCAAGGTTACAAATACTGTGGAAGCCCATGCTCTCTCCACTGCATCACCTGGTTTCCAGATGCAAGGTGCATGTTAAGAACAGGCTGCATGACAGGTGACAAGAGGCACTCACCTTGGAAAGGCCACCTCTATGGGTATTTCTGCTCCCACTGTCTCCAGTGGCAGGACTTCAGTGGGTTGCCCATCAGGAGAAGGAGTCCACATCCATCCACCTGCTCTGACTTCCTGACTGATCCAGCTGAGTTCTCAGAATTGATCGGTATGAATGCAAAATATTTTAATAAGGGTTCTTCCTCCCTCCTGAGTTCCTATAAAGCAGGAAGCATGTTCCTTCCGTCATGATCTCATAGTAGTTACATATCCTTCCAGAGTTGGAAAAGCAGTCAACCTACTATACAAGACCATTCCACACTTAGGTTTTCATTAAGCAAATATCTACCAGCACTGGCCATTCGTCATTCTCCAACCAAACCCAGCCCCAGTAAACCCTTACCTTTACTTACAGAGAGAACGCAGATCCAGAATCCCTAGGCATTTAATCTTGCTGCCTCCAGCATCCTGCTATCTCATAAACTCTAATCTCACTTGGAGGAATAGCTTGGTTCTGCTTTTGGATTTTACCAAAGGACCATAATGACAAATCCTTTTCTCTAAACTTTTGAAGTTCAATTTCCCAACTTGTCAATTGGGGATGATTTATCTTGCTAGGTTTCAATAAAGAGCTAAAGAAATATTAGATGGTAAAACCCGTTTAATAACAAACATTCCTGCTCTTACTGTGCTGGGCCCTAGAACATATTAGGTCAGTATCAAACACACGTCAGAAGCAAACACAAGAGTACAGGGCACAGGGTAAACAAATGAACCAATTTCTGCTTGAAGGTATGGAGTGAAGAAGGGAAGCCGTTCTGAGTCATGACCGGAAGCTTCAGGTTTTCTGCGGGCAGTAGAAAATCATGAGAAATTTCTGAGAAGGGAGCAGTTTGATCTGGACAGCCCCATGGAAGAAACTTCCGAAAGAAGTTGCAACGAGAGACTGTTGAATTTTGGAGTCTGCTCACCTGTCAGCTGATTGTTGCAATAGCCAAAGCAAGAAAAAATCTTAACTCAGTCAGTGGAACTGGCCAAAATAGGAAAAGGGTCAAAAGACCTCAACCACAAAAAGTTATTAGCAGCAGTGACTCTTTAAAACTATAATTCCCAGGTAATGATCTTTTTTCCAAGTTTCTACAAATGTGAAATAAGACTGTCATGCTAAAATCCTGATCTACTAATTCCTTTCCCCCACATTCACCTCATCACCTTAAAACAAAACAACATCATTGCTGCACACCCACATTCATGGAGGCATTATTCACAGTAGCCAAAAGGTGGAAGCAGCCCAAGCGTCCATCAATGGAAACACATGGAAAACCAAAATGCGATATAAATGCACATGGAACATTATTTTGGCCTTAAAAGAAAGAGAAGGAAATTCTGTAACAGGCTACAACATAGATGGATCCAGAGGATCTTGTAAGTGAGACAAGCCAGTCACAAAAGGGCAAATTGCTGTGTGATTCCATTTATATGAGGTACCCAGAGCTGTCAAACTCCTAGAGCCAGAGTAGAATGGTAGTTAATAAAAAATGAGGGGATGGAGGAAAGAGGAGTTATTGTCCCCAGTAGATAGAGTTTTGGTTTTGCAAGATGAAAAGAGGTGGATGGTACTAATAGTTGTATATTGTGAACGTGCTTAATACTGCTGACACTCAACAATGGTTAAGACAATGAGTTGTGAGTTATGTATATTTTTTCACAATTTTTCAAAAAGAAAAGAAGAAGGGAGGAAAGGAGAAAGGGAGGGGAGGGGAGAGGAGGGAAGAAAAGGAAGAAATGAAGCTAGCAAGCAAGCAAGCAAGCATTGCTCAGGAGGATTATCAGTGCAAACAGGACTGCCTGAAAACAACAAATTCTTCTGCCACCCAGGTACGCCCTTCCTAGGAACCACCGCCTTCTCTTCTGGGTAACTTTTCATTATTACTGAAAAAAAAAAAAAAAAACCCTTACTCACTCCCAGGCTTCATTTAGTCCTGACTCAGCTTCTTTATATGAATGGCAGAAGCCAGCCTGAAGGTGGACATTGCCACCTTCCCAGTGTCCTAGGCCACTTGGAGTTTCTGCTGACCAACATAGACCCTATCCATCACTCCAGGACCCCACCTTTCTCCAACATGAGCAAACATGGCCCCAAGTCCTGGCTGGCTTTCCATGTGAGCATGGAAGTTTCCAGAAAACTCTTCCTGGCAAGGGTTGGGGTACCCTTTGGTTACTTTTCGTAAGGCCTCCTGCTGGCGGGGGGGGGGGGCAGGGTCTGCCACATCGGACACAAGGAGGATAGGGGGTCTCAATGCTGAGCATGAAATGAAGCCCTGGGGTTCAGTTTGCTTCCGACCACTTCTGTCCCTGTTAGTGACTCAGAGGAGTCTGGGTCTGGAATGAGGAAGTTTGACATCCCCCTATGAAGAGGTGGAAAGTTCGCTCTACCCACTCCAGTCACTGTCATGTCTTTTTGGATGAATCAGTCTATCCTTTGGCTCTCATATTTAGAGCACTTTTTCACTTATATTTGGAGTGAATCTCTTGTAGGCAGTCTATGCATTTGAGTCCTGTTCTTTTTTTATCCAACCTGATAAAATCTAACTTTTAATGAATTATTGATATGGATTTAAGTCTACCAACTGGCCATTTTATTTTTTATTCGTCTCATCTGTTGCTCGATGCTTTTCTCTTATTTCTTAAAAACTTCATCCACAATGTACCATTATGTTTGCTTTAAACAGTCAATTTTCTTTTTAAAGAAATGAAGACATTTTTGAAAGTCTTTTGTTTTCTGGTACTCTTAATTAATCCCAGTTTCTACCTGATTTCTCTTAACATTTCCTGTTCTACAAGTCTACTGGTGATAATTTCTGTCCATTTTTATTTTACCTGCAAATGTCTGGCTTTGGACCTCATTTTTGAAGGATTATTTTTGTTGGGCATAGAATTTTAAATTTCTCCCCTTTCAGCATCTTCAAAATGCCATTCAATTATTTTTTGGTTTGCACAGTTTCTGATAAGAAGTCATCAGTATATCCTCCAGTACATAATCCTATTGTTCTATATGTTATTCTTTGGCTGATTTTAAGATTTTCATCTTTTGTTCCCAGCGATGTGACTATGATGTGTCTATGTGTGGTTTTCCACGTGATTATCCCGCTTGGGGTTGTCCAGCTTCTTAGATCTGTGGGTTGGTATTTTCATCAACTTTGGAATTTTCAGCCATTATATCTTCAAATATATTTTCTTCTCTGATCTCTCTTTTGCTCTTCCTTTTGAAATTCCAAATGCACTTTTTTTTTTTTTTTGATGACTTAATAATGTCCCACAGAGCCAGGCATGTTGGTGCATAGCTGTAATCCCAGCGACTTGGGAAGCTGAAGCAGGAAGATCGCAAGTTAGAGGTCAGCCTCAGCAACTGAGTGAGACCCTAAGCAATTTAGTGAGACCCTGTCTTAAAAAATCAAAAATTAAAAAAAAAAAAAAAGGACTGGTGATATAGCACCCCTAGGTTCAATCCCCAGTACAACAATAACAACATCCCACAGAGCACTGAGGTTCTGGCCATGTTTTTCCAGCTTTTTTTTTCTTTCTGTGTTTCAATGTGATACTTCCTAGAGCTCTGACTTCATGTTCCCTGATCTTCTTTCCCACAGCATCTGACCTATTGTTATGTAAAATTCACCTAGCAAACTTTTCACTTCAGATATTGTGGTTTTCATCTGGAATTTTCATTTGGTTCCATTTCTCTTGAATTTTTCCCCTTCTTTTAAATCCCTACACATATCTACAGTGATTGTTTTAAAGTCATCTTCTGCTGACTGCAACATCTCTGCCATCTGTGGGTCTGTTTCTACTGACTGCCTTTCTTCATTAGCCTAGGACCTCATCTGTTGTATTCTGGACACTGTGAATGCAAAGTTGTGGAGAATCTGGACTTGGTGCTCTTTCTTCAAAGAATATGAAGTTATGTTCTGATGGGCAGTTAACTGGTGGACGAATGAACTTGATCTTCTTGAGGTTGTTAAGCTTTGTTAGACCGTGAACGGGAGTTTAAGGATGAAAATTACATGCTGAGAATGGTGGAAATCAATGGCACATGGAACCTGGGTCCCTGGTGACAAGTGGACACTGGGACATGAACAGATGTATGTGCAGAACAGATACATGAACAGAACCCATGTTCTGAGCAGCATTATTCCCTACAACAACCCAAAGGTGAAAGTAACCCAAGCACCCATTAAAAGAATGGGCCAACAAAATGTGGTGTGTAGACACTATGAACATTACTTATCTTAAAAAGGAAGAAAATCATGATACAGACTATAATGCATATAAACTTTGAGGACATTATGCTAAATGAAGTAGCCAGCCACAAAGAGACAAAAGCTTTAGGATTCCACTTACATGATATCCCTAGGAGTCAAATGTGTAGACCAGAAAGAAGAATGGTAGTTGCCAAGGGTTAGGGGGTAGGGAGAAACAGGAGGTGCTGTTTAATGGGTGCAGAGTTTCAGTGTTGTTTTTGCAATCCTGGATTTGAACCCAGGGCCTCACATAAGTCCTACTACTGAGCTACTTCCCCAATCCCAGAGTTTTAGTTTCCCAAGATGAAAAGAATTCTGGAGGTGGATGGTGGAAATGGTCACACAGCAACGTGAACGCATTTGTCAATACTAAACTGTACAATTAAAAATAGTTAATATGGCTGGGCACTGTAATCCTAGCAGCTCAGGAGGATCTTAAGTTTTAGGCCAGCCTCAGCAACTTAGCAAGGCCCTAAAGCAATTTAGTGAGACCCTGTCTCAAAATAAAAAAATAAAAAAAGGGCTAGGATGTGGCTAAGTGGTAAATTGCTCCTGAGTTAAATCCCCAGTACCAAAAAAAAAAAAAAAAAAAAAGGTTATGCCTATAACTACAAATAGAATTTATTTATTTTAAAAGCAAACTAAAATAAAAAGCATCTATGTAAAATCAGAAAGTTGGTCATTTATAATAGAAATTATAACCTGAATAACAATCTAATAAAAAACTGGGGGCTGATTATATTTCTGAACTTCTGGAACTGAGAGGATATTTGTAAACAGATTAAGTGTCTTGGCCTTTCCTTGGTCCTCAGGCCAGGTAAAGTGGTGATTAGCAAGTGTAAACTACTGATTTCTACCCAGAAAGTTAAAAAAATAATAATAATAATCATCCTTTTTCAAAGAGCAGGAACAAAGGGCCGATCAACCCAAGGGTTGTACAATAAAGCTGGATTACACAGCATACGGGGCCCTTTGATCCCTCCAGCTCGCATTCCTGCCTGCAAACGTGTTCTCAGGGAGTGAAGATATTCATGATGTCACCAGGTGATCGTACTGAGCTGATATGGCCTCACCCCACACTGGATGGCCCTCACAAAGGCAGGCAGTGTCTCTGAATGCAAATGGGGACATCTGGGCGGACTTCTGGCAGGAGTCATTAGCCATTGCATCCAGACTGTCACGGGACACTCTCCTTCCCATGCATCCCCCGTCTCTCTCTCCAACGAGCTAGAAGACTGGGGGCACAGGTGGGCAGAATTTTCTCTGGGAAAAGTCCTCTGAGCTCACATTTCCAACAGCTATAGCGCCTAAGAGGGCAGGAGGCAAACAGGGAATCGGGAGAGAGTCTTTGCAAGGGAGCAGGGATTCAGGGCCCCGGAAGTGACAGAACTGGATGCCTCATGGGCCGCCT